AAATAAGAACCAAGATGCATCATGTAAAGGTACAATTCCCAATGAGAAATGTAATTGTGTTGTACACCTAAAATGTACCAATAAAAGAATTTAACAACAACAACAAAAAATAAAATAAAATAAAATTACCTGAGAGATCAGAATGCCTTAGGCCAAGTTTTTGATGGATGGTTTACATCTCTGGTATAAATGGAGCTCAAATCAGACGTCAAGGTCGAAATGCAGATGAAGCTGGGCCAGTGAAACCTCACGAAGAGCTGATGGTTCAGTTGTCACAGGACCCCAGAGCTTGGCACGGCGTGAGGCAGTGAGACCCAGTGTTTCTGGGCCGAGGCCTCGCTTCCCCAGACCAAGCCCACCGTCCTGCTCCCGCACAGCGACCAGGAGCTGGCAGCCTCACCCTGGAGCCCCAGGGTGACTTCCTGGCGTTCCCCACCCTCGGCCTCAGGTCCCCACATCTTCCAGCCAGTCTCTTCGGCCTCCCTCTACCCAATCCGAGAGGCTCCTTCCATGTGGTCCAGCAGCGCTGCTCCTCTCCGCCTCTGACTCCTACCTCAGCTCCCGTCAGTGTGCGCCTGCCTTTCCTTGCCGTTCAGCAGACAGCTGCGAAAAGGACGGCATCGCTGTCACACGCAGAGTGCTGCGGAAGTGTTGGCTGGACACTTTAAGTTTACTTTTTATATTTTATAACAGTTTGGATTCACAGAAATATTGTGCAGATAATACAGAGCGTTCCTGTGCACCCCACGTCTGGTTTCTGCTGTTACTAACATCTCATATGAATGGCGCATTGGCCCAATGAATAAACCGGTATTGTTACATTTTTATTGACTAAAATTCAGACTTTACCGGGATTTGCTTGGCTTCTATATGCTCTCCTTTTTTGTTTCAGGTGCCCATCTAGGATACCTCACTGCATTTAGTAACTGAGTCGCTGTTTCTCAGAATGTCCTGGGTTTTTTTTTTTTTAAATTGTGATACAATTCACATATTATAAAATTCACCCTTTCAAATGTACAATTCATCGGATTCTTTTTACTATATTTGCAAAGCTGTGCAACCATCAGCACTATCTAATTCCAGTCACTTGCAACTCCCGGAAGAAGAAACCTGCAGGGCTGGGGGTAGTTCAGAGGTAGAGCGTGTACTTAGCATGTACAAGGTCCCAAGTTCAGCCTCCAGTACAAGGAAGGAGGGAAGGGGGGGACAACAAAGAAAAAGAAGGAAAGGGAGAAGGGAAAAAGAAGAAAGGGAGGGAGAGAGAGAGAATGAAACCTGTACCTGTTGGAAATCACTCCCAATTCCCACAGCCTCTGGAAACCACTATCTTATCTTTTATAACTGGAATCATAGACTTTGTAAAAATCTGACTTCTTTCATTTAGTAAAATATTTTCAAGCTTTATCCACACTGTAGCATTAATTAGCATCTCATTCCTTTTTGTGGCTGCATAATATTCCATTGTATGGACATACCATATTAGGTGTATCCATTCAACTGATGGGTTGTTCCACTTTTTGGCTATTATGAATAATACTTCTATGAATATTTGTATGCAAGTCTTTTATGCAAATATATGTTTTCAAAGATCTTGGGTATATTCTTAGGAGTGGAATTGCTGGGTCATAAGATATTCTGTGCTTAACTTCAGAGTTTTCCAAAATTCTATGCTTAAAAAAATTTAACATAGGATTTCCAGAGTGAGTGCACCACTTTACCTTCCTACTACCAATATTATAAGGACTCCCATTTCTCCACATTCTCACCAACACTTGTCTGTTTATTCACAGCCACCCTAGTAAATATGAAGTTGTATTTCACTATGACTTGATTTGTGTTTCCCTAATGACTGATGATGTTCAGATTTTTAAAACATGTTTATTGACCATCTGTATATCTTCTTTGGAGAAATGTTTATTACAATCCTTTGCCCATTTTTAAATTGGGTTATTTTTTATTGTGGAGTTAAGAGTTCTTTATAGATTATGAATGCTAGATCCTTACCACACATATGATTTGCAAATATTTTCTTCATCCTAAAGGTTGTGTTTTTACTTTTCTTTGTAATGGCTTTACTGAAATAGAATTTATGTGCTGTATAATTCACTATTAGAATGTACAATTCAGTTGTGTATAGCATAGTCACAGAATTGCACAACATGACCCTTTTTTGTTTTTTTTGAGGAGGCTACTGGAGATTTTAACCCAGAGCTTTCACGCTGAACTACATTCTTCACTAGCCTTTTGTGATTTTTTTATTTTGAGACTGGGTCTTACTAAGTTGCTAAGTTCCTCAGGGTGTGCTCAAACTTGAGATCCCCCTGTCTCAGCCTCTCAGAGTGTTGGGATTACAGGCATGCACCACCCTGCCTGGCTCTAGTATATAATTTCTAACATGACAATATCATATAACCAGCAGCTCTGTATTCCATCTGGTATTCTAGGTAGCAATTCCTAATCTCCTCTGCCAAACAATGCCCAGCCTGCTCCCCGCTGGGTATGCAGGGCTCACCTGACCTTTCTGCTGTCCTACGATTCCCTACTGTATGTGGTACACTCCAGCCCTCCTCAGTCTTGGCACCCTTTGTCATCCCTCTGCCTCTGCATGTGTTCCTCCTCAGACTGTAAGTCCACCCAAGACCTTCAAAACCAAAGTCAAATCAACTCTGCTGGGCCCCTAGAAGTGCCTGTTCCATGCCCTATCCCCTCAAGGCATTTTATGGCCTCTAACTTGCTCAGTATTGTGTTATGATATATATAATGTTTTATCTATCTTCTTTTTTTTTTTTTTTTGGTACCAGGGATCAAACTCGGGTCCTTGTGCTTATGAGGCAGGCAGCACGACCACTGAGCTAAATCCCTGGCCCTTATCTATCTTCTTGACTACACAGACCTGGAGGATACATCTGTCTAGATGATTTTTAATTCCTATGCAAACCGGTGCAGAGCTCTGGTAGGAGAGGCTTAATGCATGTTTGATGTTGAATGAATGGAATATATGTGCTAAGCAGCTTTAAAATTAATCAAATGTATTTTATATCCCAATGCCTATAATAGTACTGTATACCCCCCCAAAAAAGATTTCATGTGAGATGTTTTAATCTGCCTTCTTGTTTATGGAATGTTGTTCACATATTCTCCCTTAAAAGGCAGAGATGAGTCAGGCATGGTGATACATGCCTGTAACTCCAGCACTCTAGGAGGCTGAGGCAGGAGAATCACAAGTTCAAGCCCAGCCTGAACAACTTAATGACTTAATGAGACCTTGTCTCAAAATAAAAAATAAAAGTAGAAATTAAAAAAGGACTGGGGGTGTAGCTCAGTGTGAATACCCTGGGTTCAATCCCCAGTAACACACACACGCGCAAAGATGAATTTAGAAATGAATAAACAGAATGCTTATTCACCAGTCCTCCACAGAATACTGGCTTAATGATCTAATCTATTACTCTAGCTACAAAGAAGTCAAGGAAGCAAGTGAGTAACAAAACAAACTAGGAAAATGAGCTTTTCAAGAGCTTTCTGGAATTCTTTAACAATCTATTATTGAACATTTAACAAAATAACTTGGAAAATAACTTGAACAACTTTGTTTTGAAACAGGGTCTTGCTATATAGTTCAAGGTGGCCTTGAACTCACTATGTAGCCCACCTCAAACTTGCAATGATCATCCTGCCTCAGCCTCCCAAAAGCTGGGATTACAGGTATGCACCACCACACCTGCCTTGATCAATGTTTGGGTTTTTTTTGGTACCAGGGATCAAAGTCGGGTCCTTGCACTTGCGCAGCAGGCGGTGAAACCACTGAGCTAAATCCCCGCCCCATTGATCCTTTTTTTTAAAGCTTAATAATAACAACAAATATTAGTTCTACTTAAGGTAATTATGTCAAAGTAGTTTACTTCAATACAAGGACTTAATTACAGACATGGAATGAACCAGATTACTTAGGGCATGATGTTTGAGACAGGCTTTTCATGGCTAAGTCCAGTGGGTCCTGAATTCTCACGTTGTTTCTCTCTATCAGGGAAGAATTTCTGCCAGACTCTTTTACGTTTTCTTCTGGTTCAATGGGGAGGAGAGTATGGGGGTTGAACAGATACCTCGGCTCCCCCAAGATGCCAACCCTGTGGAAAGAATTACAGTACAGCTCAAGTGTAAGGCCAGTGAGTGCGATGCATGGTTGTGGTTGTGATTGTGACTGTGGTTGCCCCGTGTCTGTGCGTGTTCATGCATGCACATGTGTGTATACTACAGTGAGGGCTGACACACACAGACACACACATACACGCACACTCTCTCTTTTTAAAAAGGGGGCCAGGGCCAGGGATTTAGCTCAGTGGTTCCGGTGCCTGCCTTGCAAGTGCAAGGTCCTGAGTTCCATCCCCAGTACCAAAAAGGGGGCGGGGGGGCAGGGATGTGGCTCAGTGCCACAGCACCTGCCTGGCAGGCGCAAAGTCCTGAGTTTGATCCCTGGTACCAAAAATTTTTTAAATATTAAAAAAATAAAAAGTAAAAATAAAAAAAGACCTGTCCTCAGAGTGAACCCTGTCTCAAAAAATTAAAAAAGAAATTTAAAAGATGTCCTTGTTCCCATGAAGTACCACTTAGATATGGGTCCAATTCCCAAAGATGATTCTTATAATAGAAAAACCTTAGCCTTAAAGAATCTGTTACTCACTACTCCAGGCTGAAACTCGAGTCTGGCATAACTTTCAAGCATTCTCCCCTGGTCTAGATGGGCAGAAGCAGAGATGCTTTGGGCAGGAAACAGGGGGAGAGGAGGGGTGCGGGCAGGAAGACAGGGTCGTGCTCAGCCTTCTGTCACAGGCACAGTACCCGAGCCTCTACTCCTCCTGGGCCAACCTAGGCAGCGACACCAGGGCCTTCCTGTCTCTCTCCTTGGGCCACTTACACTGGCATGGGCACGGAGTCCAGGCTTGCCCTGTGCTTCCCCACATAGGCTGACTGTCTCATCCCGCCTTGATACTTTTTCTCAACAATATTCTGAGCTTTTTCCCTGAGAGAAGGTAGCAGAGTAGACATGACTGGAGAGCGCATGTTAATGGTTTTTTAAATTGCTGGGCATTTTGCCATCATTCTCCTGTGGGACAAAGAAGGTGACATTTAGGTCACATTATCCTTTTTTTTCTAGCAACATCCTTGAGCTTAGGAAAGTCAAAAGATCATACCTGAGCCAGGCACAGTGCTGCACACCTGTAATCTCAGCCACTCAGGAGGCTGAGGCAAGAGGATTGCAAGTTTTAGACCAGCGTGGGCCACTTAGGAAGACCTCTTTTTCAAAAAAAAAAAAGTCATACCTGAATTGTACCAATGTCATACGTTTCCTCTCCCGCCCTGATTCTTCATCTTCATGCTTCCTTCGAGGAATGTTGAACATAATGGTACAGAAGAGCCTTCCTATTTCTTCCTTAATCTCTGTCAGGTGTTGACGTTGGAAAACAATCCAAGCTACACATGGACAGAACATGAAAAAGGACTACAACAAAACACAGAGAAGGATCACTATCCCCGGAAATAATATGACAACTCCCACCTGTCTACATAACACTGCTAAACAGACACAAACCCAGATGACCCCATTTCTCAACAGCTCTGGACAGCTGTGTAAAATTATACACACACTCACTTCTGCGGGAGGACAATCAGACCAAAATTCTAATTCAAAATTCTACAGTTTGTTAGCATCCCTTTTAGAAAAGATATTCACTGAAAATACATGCCTAGCAAATGGCTGTTGTTTGTTGCTAAACATTATGTTTCATATGAAAGTGAAGTCTCCAAACCATAAGTGACTCACCTCAAAGAATTTCCAGTCTTTTTGTGTGTCTGATATTCTATCCCTGTAACATAACAAATCATAATTTAAGGTTGAGAGGGAAGCCCAAGCTTTCATGATCTAGCTCTCCCTAAAAGGTAATATGTGGCCTCAAAAGTATTCAGCAACATAAATACTAGCAAAGGGCATTGTTAAGAGACCTTAACACCTCTTCTTCAACTTTCTATGTGGCCCAGGTCAAAACTCCTAGTGTCTGGTCAAAAGTTAAATTAAGGCTGGGCCGGGGATTTAGCTCAGTGGCACCACACCTGCCTTGCAAGTGCAAGGTCCTGAGTTCGATCTCCAGTACAGTAAAAAAATCAAGGTAGATTCAGGGTAAACCAGCCAGTGGGGTTTGCCAATGGAGATCTGTGTGTGTTGGAGAGGTAAGGACAGTGGTCAGGTGGGAACAGGTAATATGAGGCATTAAGTAGGTTTAGGTGTGCAGAATTGAAAGGTATGTCTAGGTTGGAGATAAAGAATAGAAACCCTAAACAACGGCTATGGCTATGGCCTTTGGGTGCAGAAAGAAACAGAGGCAAAACTGACAGGTCCACACTGTACAACCAACAGACCGAAGAGAGTACTGTGTTCCTTCTTCTAACTGACTCAGTCAGTCTCGAGCCTTAATTCTGCCACAATACAAATTCAAGGCCAAGGACCCTGGACTGGCACGAGCCACTTAGTGAACCTGGCCTCACCTCCCAAGTTGGTCACGCCATTCTGATTCTGAATCCCCGCCTTAGGAGAACAGGTCTGGCCTGGGGAGGCCTAGAGAGCCAGCCGAGAGGACAGCAGACCTGCAGCTACTTGGTGTGGCATGGGCACCAAGGCCAGAGCCAGTGCACCCCACCAGCGACCCTGGTTTTACTCCTGCTTTTGCTTGGGTCTTCTCTGGAGGAACTGTGAATTATAGGACTGGCCCTGGTACCAGGCTCTTCAGAACTTTCCAGAACACCTAAGTTCAGCAAAAATGACCCCAAACCATCTGGATCCCCAGTGTTCTCACTGGGACTTTGGTTTGTATGGCCCAAAGTATCCTTCCTTTGAGAGCATGATGCTAAAGAGATGGTCGCCTTTTCCCAGGGCCTGTCCCCACCTCCTACACGCTCTTCTTTATACCCTGGTTTCCTCTTGTGCAAGTCTTCAATGAAGAACTAAGGTGATGGTAACCACATTAAATGATATTACTGGACTATGTCGTCCCAGGTACCACCCCCAGCCCTTTACAGTGGTTGTCAGGCTTGGTCCTTGTAATATCCCGACAAGGGAGGCAGCACTGTTCTTCCCACTTCAGAAAACTGAAGTTGAGACTGAAGTCCAAGGACATATTTAATTAGGGACAGATCTTGTACTACACCTCAGGCCTGTAAAATCCACACATCTATCCTCAGAACCAGAACACTAGAGAAAATTGCTTTTTCTTTAGAATAGTTTGTAGATAGAAATACTGAACAACAGTCCAGCAGAAACTTTTTCAGGGCCAATATCAATGTTTTTTCAGTGCCATCTGAGGCCTCCACCTGAGAGATTTCTGCCTTCTGTGTCCCCTACCAGCTGGAAGCAGAGGCCATGCAGACCTGCCAAGCTGAAATGGAAAACCAGACGGTGTTTCTGGCACAGTGAGTCAGCTTGTGCTTTGGGAGAGAGTTTGGAACACAACCCAACCAGCACCGTGTTAGCAAGGTTTAGAAGTGAGAAGTTGGAAAAAAAAAAAAGGAAGTGAGAAGTCGGGCTGGGGATTTAGCTCAGTGGTTTCACTGCCTGCTGAGCAAGCTCAAGGACCCGAGTTCGATCCCCAGTACCAAAAAAAAAAAAGAAGTGAGAAGTCGATGGCCCAGGACACACATACTTCCTCTCCTTTTTTTCTTTCATATTTTTGGATCAGAAGAGAAGATGAACATCCTCCTCTTGAAGTTGTCATTAACACTAAAATGTGGGCCAGGGATTTAGCTCAGCGGTTTCACCACCTGCTGTGCAAGCGCAAATGCAAGGACCCGAGTTCGATCCCCTGGTACCAAAACACAAAACAAAACACTAAAATGCTTTCTTTCTGAAAGCCCAAAGGAAATGGATGTAGCCTGCACCACAGAAATGAAATACGCAATGTTGTGGGCTTTATTCTTGTCCTTCTCTGGTTGAGCCCAGGAAATGGCGGTGTAGAATGAGGACATTTGAGAACCTCATGGTTTAAATCTCTGCACATTTGCCTCCTGCTGGTGAACTTTGGGTCACTTTTCTTTTCTTTTTTTTTCCCCCATTAACTTTATTGGTACATTTTAGGTATAAAATACAGTTACATTCATCATTGGGATCTTGTACCATTACATGAGTCTCTTGGTTCTTATTT